GGGGGGGGCGCTCAGTGTCCCTACCTGTTACTGGCTGAAGAGGGGGAGAGGGAGGGAGCTTGTTGCTCCAGGGACCAGCACAAACTGGAGACCCTGGTGACTGGTGATCAGGTGACCCAGCTGGGAAGGCAAAGCCAGGTCTGGCCAGTGGGAGACCAATGGGCTGTGGGGAGAGGACCCAGGCGACCTGCCCAGCTGGTCCCAGCCAGGGGGACAAAGGACGGAGGAGAGGGGAGGCGGGGAAAAGGGATGCCCAGGTGACCCTGGTTACCTGGACAGGAGACAGAGGTCAGGAGACGGGATGCAGGGGAGGGATATGGGGGGCTGGGCTGAAAGGAGGGGGCTGCTGCACGGGGCAGGGGAGCAGGCAGAGCCCACCTGGACAGGGGTCACTTAGATGTGCTGAAGGGGGGCCAGGCCTACAGGCCTGAGAGTTCAGGGCATGTGAGTGCTATCTGTTGGAAATTTGCTGGCAAAATACTCCTCCTCCCCCCTCCCCGATAAAGGGGGGTTGCATGGTCAGCAGCAAAGGGCTCCTGCCCACAAAGCAGCACTCACATGGGCACCTGCCACAACAAAACTTTCTCATTCAGGGGGAAGTTTTAAGCACCTGTAAATAGCAAAAGTTTTGTTGATCATATTCAAATGTCGACACACCCAGAGTGGCACATGGAGCAGCCACTTGCTGTCTTGCTCACGTGACTATGAGCACATGCTGCCTTTGATGAAGTGGGTTTGTACCCACAGGTGCTTGTGCCCAAATACATGTATTATGTCTCTAAGGTGTCACAGGGACTCATTGTTTTCGCAAGCCCCATCTTGCTGTCATTTTCCAGAGAGAACCACAGGATCCCTTCACATAGGTGAAGACATAAAACACCCTGGGAATCCCTCCACTTTGTCTTAATCCAGCTTCTTACCTCTGGCAGGTCTTTGCAACAAACAAGCTGGAAACAAAGGCCTGAAGGACCCATCCCAGTTCTGAATGTGCCCCAGAGACTCAACTTACAGCAGCCTTTTGTTCCACTTGTGCTACAAGTTGAATCAAGAATTGTGCAACTGGTGTGTGTAATGTGATTCCTCTAACAATTCTGACCCTCCCTTCCTCTCTTTTCCTTTCTATGAATAAGCCTAAAGTATAAATTGACAGTGTAGAAGCAAAAACACGCTCCTCTGTGTTTAGGCAGCTAACAAACAGCTTTATTAATTAATAAAGCACAGCATGAGCCAAACGTGGTCACAGCAGAGCCGGGCCCAGTAAGGCTGCTAATACAATCAATCCTAGTATCTTTATACCCTTAGCCAAACAGTCTGACGTCAGGGCATCCAATTACAGAAATCCTCAATTAAATTTGGAAAAAACAAAGCCTTATCAACAAGATGGCGGACAGGTACGAGGGAGTACATCTCCTGTCCCAACCAGCCCAATTAACACATACCAATAGCCCATCCTGTAGGCCTCTTCTCACGGGGTGACAGAAAGTTCACTCTGGTCTACGTGCTTGAGAGAAAAGCTGAAATGGTTTCTGATATACAAGATGGCTTCTAGCTAAACATAAAATAGCTTCTACAACAGGAACTGTGGCTAGTCCTTTGGGGTTGGAAGAACCTGCTTGGAGTTTTAAGTTTATCCTGTTTGGAGTTGGTGAGATGGGTTGTGTAACGTGTACAAGGAGCGGTGTTGGCTGTGGCACAGGTAAAGCTGGAGGGTCTGAGGGGATTGCTTATGCAACCCCTTGCTGGCCAGTATGGCAGCCAAAGTGCTCTCTGTGACTGCTTTGGTGCCATAGAGTGGAGGTCCCCCAGTCTTGGGCCGCGAGTATCCTGTTTTTAAGCCATTTGCCATGATTTGGCCCTCTCGGTGGTGCCCCCAGAAACCCATTATATTACAGGGTGCCACCCTAAAGGGCTTGCACAGGGAGCGATGGGGACAGACGATGATGGAAAATGTTCCCTTTACTCCGCAGGAAAATGCTAAAATGTACAAAAGCACTGCGACAGGTGGGGGAGCAGGACACAAATACACAACAGAAGGGACTGACAGAGCGTCCCCATGAGTCATTCATACGCCCCTCCAGCACCCTACACTCTCTCTCTCACACACACACAAAACCCTCTTCCCTGGGCAGACCCCCACAGCAATGCGCACACAGATGTTCACAAGGATAAAACCCGCATGGACACACACACGTTCCTGTGATATGCATCCTAGTGTGCAGAGTCAGGTAACTCTCACCAATTCCCTTGCACGTGCATGCCTACCTGGACCATGTCCCTTCAGCACAGACACACCTGACAAACTGCAAGCATGGATGAGAGAGACACCAAACCCCCAGCCTTCAGCCCACTTATGCACTCGCATATGCATCACTAATACTGCACAGACAGGCACACAGACACGTGACACTATTCACCAGCCTTCTCCTCTCAGGCTGGAGAGATCCCAGCACTCCCAGTCCGGACAGAGGAATACAGAGCCAGGACACAGGGCCCCGGAGTCCAGCAATGCAGCCAGTGGAGGGAGTCCTTGGACTTCGTCCCATGAAACAAGCAGGGGACCTGTTCAGGCCCCTCTATGGGGGCTGCAGGACAATGTCTCTGGCTCTGTGTGGGTCCCCCGGGAGGCCCCATTGTCTGGCACCTGCAGCCCCAAGCCCGGGGTGCAGGTATCCACAGAGACAGCCGGCTGCCCCCAGCAGCATGGGCAGTGACAGGGAAGGCTCCAACCGAAGCGCTCAGCTGCACAGTAATACACCAGTGGGTCCAGGCAGGCATTGAGGCTGGTCAGGGCCATGGTGAGGCGGCGAGCAACATAGGTGCCGCGTATGAGCGGGCAGCCCCTCAGCACCCCTAGGCGCCACAGCGTGTGCACCACCTGGGTGAGGTGGTAGGGCGCAAAGCAGAGGAGAAACACAGCCAGCACCACCAGCACCGTGCGCAGCGCCTTGCGCCGGACAACCTGCGAACCAGGTGCTAGGCCTGGAGTCTGCAGCAGCCGGCGGGCGATGAGCGGGTAGCAGATGCCAATCAGTGCCAGCGGCAGCAGGAAGCCCACGGCGGCAGCAAAGAGGCTGACCCCCGAGATCCGGCCCTTCCAAGAGTCGCTGGAGAAGTTCTCCAGGCAGGCTAGGCGTCCGCCAGGAAAAGGCCGCGTCAGGGGGCCGCGCAGTGCCAGGTAGAGCAGGGTCGCTACCAGCAGGGCCCAGATGGCCAAGCAGCCAGCCACACGGTAGAGGGGCCGGCGCAGGCGCAGGCTGCGCCAGGGGTG